TCCTATAATATAATAAAAATTATAATTATAATGTCCAGTCCTTATTCAGAATCCCAATTGTCCCTCAAATTTGTTCTCCCAACAGGATCCAATAAGGAAAGACACATTGTTTTCAGGTTTACATCTCTCAAGTTTTATCTTTTTTTTTTTTTTTTTGAGACAGAGTTTCGCTCTTGTTACCCAGGCTGGAGTGCAATGGCGCGATCTCGGCTCACCGCAACCTCCGTCTCCTGCATTCAGGCAATTCTCCTGCCTCAGCCTCCTGAGTAGCTGGGATTACAGGCGCGCGCCACCATGCCCAGCTAATTTTTTTTGTATTTTTAGTAGAGACGGGGTTTCACCATGTTGACCAGGATGGTCTCGATCTCTTGACCTTGTGATCCACCCGCCTCGGCCTCCCAAAGTGCTGGGATTACAGGCTTGAGCCACCGCGCCCGGCCTCAAGTTTTATCTTAATATAGCTCACCGTGTGGCTCATCATCTACTCTTTTTTTTTTTTTTTTAACCCTGCTCTTTTTCCCCTCCCACTGACCCTAAGAGACCAGAGTAGTGGCCCATATTCTTGATTTTTTTTTATTTCATTTATCTTTCATTTACCTATTTATTTACTTTTAATTTTAAATTCAGGGGGTATATGTGCAGGTTTGTTATATGATTATAATACCTAATGCTAAGATTTGAGCTTGTAATGATCCCATAAACCAAGCAGTGAATAGTATTCGATAAGTAGTTTTTAGCCCTTGCCAACTCCCTACTTTTGGAATCCCCAGTGTCTGTTTTTCCCATCTTTGTGTCCATGTGTACCCAGTGTTTAACTCCCACTTATAAGTAAGAACATGCAGTATTTGGTTTTCTGTTTTTGCATTAATTTGCTTAGGATAATGGCCTCCAGCTGCATCCACGTTACTGCAAAGGGCATGAATTCATTCTTCTCTGTGACTGCATGATACACCTGGTGTATATTTACCACAGTTTTTCAGTCCAGTCCACCGCTGATGGACACCTAGGTTGATTCCATGTCTTTGCTATTGTGAATAGTGCAGCAATAAGCATAGCAGTGCAGGAGTCTTTTTGGTAGAACGATTTATTTTCCTTTGGGTATATACTCAGTAATGGGATTGCTGAGTTGAATGGTACTTCTATTATTAGTTCTTTCAGATATCTTCAAACTGCTTTCCACAAGGGGTGAATTCATTTGCATTCCGACCAACAGTGTATAAGCATTCTCTTCAGTCTTACCAGTATCTGCTGTTTTCTGAATTTTTGATAATAGCCATTCTGATTGGTGTGGGATAGTATCTCATTGTAGTTTATATTTCTGTTTCTTTCTTTCTTTCTTTTCTTTTTTTCTTTTTTTTTTTTTTTTTTTTGAGACAGAGTTTTTGCTCTTATGATTAGTGGTGCTGAACATTTTTTTATTTGTTGGCCACTTATATATTTTGTGAGGAGTGTCAGTTCAAGTCCTTTGCCTACTTTTTAATGGGGCTATTTGTTTTTCTTGTTGATTTGTTTAAGTTACTTACAGATTCTAGATATTAGTCCTTTGTCAGATGCATAGTTTGCAAACATTTACTCCCATTCTGTGGGTTATCTGTTTATTCTGTTGATAGTTTCTTTTGCTGTGCAAAAGCTCTTTAGTTTAATTAGGACCTAACTGTCCATTTTTGTTTTTGTTGCATTGGCCTTCAAGGACTTCGTCATAAATTCTTTACCTTGATAAATGTCTAGAAAAGTATTTTCTTGTTTTTCTTCTAGGATTTTTCTAATTTGAGATCTTATATTTAAGACTTCAATTCATCTTGAGTTAATTTTTGTATATGGTGAGAGGTAGCAGTCCAGTTTCATTCTTCTGCATATAGCTAGCCGTTTATTGAATAAAGTGTCCTTTCCACATTGTTTGGTTTTGTTGACTTTGTCAAATATTAGTTAGTTGTAGGTATGCAACTTTATTTCTGGGTTCTTATTCTATTGATTGGTCTATGTGTCTGTTTTTGTACCAGCACCATGCTGTTTTGCTTACTGCAGCCTTGCAGTATAGTTTGAAGCGAGGTAATGCGATGCCTCCAGCTTTATTCTTTTTGCTTAGGATTGTCTCTTTTTTGGTTCCATGTGAATTTTAGGATAGTTATTTCCAATTCTGTGGACATTGACTCATAACTTGATAGGAACAGCATTGAATCTGTAGATTGCTTTGGGCAGTATAAACATTTCAACGATACTGATTTTTCCAATCCACAAGTGTAGAATGTTTTTCATTTGTTTGTGTCATCTATGATTTATTTCAGTAGTGTTTTGAGGTTCTCATTGTAAAGATTTTTAACATTCTTGGTTGGATATATTCCTGGGTATTTTATTTTTGTGTGTGTGCCTACTGTAAATGGTATTGCTTGTTTAATTTGGTTTTGAGCTTGAATGTAATTGGGTATGGAAATGCTACTGATATTTGTACATTGATTTTGTATCCTGAGACTTTGCTGAGGTCATTTATTAGGTCTAGGAGATTTTTGGGAGAATCTTTAGGGTTTTCTAGGTGTAGAATCTTATTGCCAGCAAAGAAAGATAATTTGACTTCCTTTTTTCCTATTTGGCTATCTTTTATTTCTTTGTCTTGTCCGATTGCTCTGGCTAGGCCTTCCGGTACTATGTTGAGTAGGAGTGGCGAGAGTGGACATCCTTGTCTTATTTCAGTTCTTAAGGGGGAATTATTCCATCTGTCCATTGAATTGGATGTTGGCTCTGAGTTTGTCATAGATGACTCATTATTTTGAGGTATGTTCCTTCAATGCCTAGATTGTTGAGGGCTTTTATCATAAAGAGATGTTGTGGCCGGGCGCAGTGGCTCAAGCCTGTAATCCTAGCACTTTGGGAGGCCGAGGCAGGTAGATCACGAGGTCAAGAGATCGAGACCATCCTGGTCAACATGGTGAAACCCTGTCTCTACTAAAAATACAAAACATTAGCTGGGCATGGTGGCACGTGCCTGTAATCCCGGCTACTCAGGAGGCTGAGGCAGGAGAATTGCCTGAACCCAGGAGGCGGAAGTTGCGGTGAGCTGAGATCGCGCCATTGCCCTCCAGCCTGGGTAACAAGAGTGAAACTCCGTCTCAAAAAAAAAAAAAAAAAAAAAAAAAGAGATGTTGTATTTTATCAAATGCTTTTTCTGCATCTATTGAGATAATCCTATGGTTTTGATTTTTAATTGTTTATGTGGTGAATTCTATTTATTGATTTGCATATGTTGAACCATCCTTACATCCCAGGAATAAAGCCCATGTGATTACAGGGAATTCACTTTTTGATATGCTGCTGGATTTGGTTTGCTAGCATTTTATTGAGGATTTTGCATCTATGTTCACCAAGGATATTGGCTTGTAGTTTTCTTTGTTGTTATGTCTTTGCCAGATTTTGGTATCAGGATGATAATGGGTTTATAGAATGAGTTAGGGAGAAGTCTCTACTCCTTGATTTTTTTGAACAGTTTCAGGAAAATTTGAACCAGTTCTTCCTTGTATTTCTGGTAGAATTCAGCTATGAATCCATCTGGTCCAGAGCTTTTTTTGTATAGTAGGTTTTTTTTATTATTTATTCAATTTCATTCCTCATTATTGTCTGTTCAGGATTTCTATTTCTTCTCGGTTCAATCTTGGGAAGTTATGTATTTCCAGAAAATTATCCATTTCCTCTAGATTTTCCAGTTTATGTGCATAGAGATGTTCATAGTAGTCTCCGAGGATCTTTTGTATTTCTCTGGCATCAGTGGTAATGCCATCTTTCTCATTTCTAATTGGGGTTTATTTGGATCTTCTCTCTTTTTTGATGGTAGTTAGCAGTGTATCCTGTTTATCCTTTCAAAAAAACAATTTTTCATTTCATTGATCCTTTGCATTTTTTCTTAGGTTTCAATTTTGTTTAGTTCTGCTAAGCTTTGGGATTAATTTGTTCTTGTTTTTCTGGTTCCTTTAGGTGCAAGTTTAGGTTGTTAATTTGAGATATTTCTACCTTCTTGATGTAGCCATTTTGCATGCCAGAGGTTTTGGTAGGTCGTTTCTCTATTTTCATTGTTTCAAAGAATTTTTTTATTTCTGCTCCAATTTCATTGCTTACCCAAAAGTCATTCAGGAGAAAGTTATTTAATTTCCATGTATTTGTGTAGTTTTGAGTGTTCCTCTTGGTATTGATTTCTGTTTTTATTTCACTGTGGTCTAAGAAGATACTTGGTTTGATTTTCAGGTTTTATTTTTGTTTTTGTTTTTATAATGTATTGAGACTTGCTTTATGACTGAGCATGTGGTCAATCTTAGAGTATGTTCTGTGCAGATTAGAAGAATGCATTCTGTGGTTATTGGGTAGAGTGTTCTGTAGAAGTATATCTGACCCAATTGGTAAGTGTTGAATTTAAGTCCAGAATTTGTTAGTTTTCTACCCCAATGATCTGTCTAATGCTGTCAGTGGGGTGTTGAAGTCCACCACTACTATTGTGTGGCTGTCAAAGTCTTTTCTTAGGTCTAGAAGTAATTGTTTTATAAATCTGGGTGCTCCAATGTTGGGTGCCTATTTATTTAAAGTCTTCTTGTTGAATTCAAGCCTTTAGTATTATGTAATGCTCTTCTTTGTCCTTCTTTACTGTGGTTGGCTTAAAGTCTATTCTATCTGATATAAGAATAGCTGCTCTTTTCTTTCCATTTGTGTGACAGATCTTTCTCCATCCCTTTACTTTGAGGCTATGGGCATCATTATATGTGAAATGGATCTCTTAAAAATACTAGAAACATGGGTCTCTTTCTTAATCCAATTTGCCACTGTGTATCTTTTAAATGGAGCATTTATGCCATTTATGTTCAAGGTTAATATTGATAGGTAAGGTTTTTTCCTGTCATACTGGTGTTAACTAGTTGCTTTGTGATCACAATTGTGTAGTTCCTTTATAGGATCCATGAGTTATGTGTTTGCATATGGTTTTTTGAAAACAAGTATTGTTCTTCTGTTTCCTTGTTTAGAATTCCTTTAAGGATCTCTTGCACAGCCAGTCTGGTGGTGATGAATTCCCTTAGCAATTGAAGGTTAGGGAAAGATTTTATTTCTCCTTTGTTTATGAAGCTTAGTTTGGTGAGATATGAAATTCTTAGCTGGCATTTCTTTTCTTTAAGAATGCTACATATGGGCCCCTGATATCTTTGGTTTGTAAAGTTTCTGCTGAGAAGTCCACTGTTAGTCTGACGGATTTCTCTTTATAGGTAATATAATCCTTTTGTCTAAGCTGTCTCCAAGATTTTTTTCTTTCCCATTGACCCTGCATAGTCTGATAACTATGTGCCTTGGGGATGGTCATCTTATATAGTATTTTGGAGGCGTTCTATGGATTTCTTGTATCTGCATGTTGATCTCTCTGGCAAGATTGGGGAAATTTTCCCCAATTATATCCTCAAATGTTGTCCAAGTTACTTACTTTCTCCTCTCTCTCAGAAATGCTAATAAATTACAGATTTGGCTGCTTTACATAATCACATATGTCTCAAAGTCTTTGGAGAACACTTTTTCTTTGTTTGCATGTTTTGTTTTGTTCTGTTTTGTTGTAGCGACAAGTTTGGTTGTGTTCATGTTTAACAGCTTATATTTGGTTTCGGTCAAGCAATTAGCCAGAGAGACTTTGTTAGAGAATGTGCATATAAAGAAGTTAACCCAGGCGGCTGGGTGCAGTGGCTCACGCCTGAAATCCCAACACTTTGGAAGGCCGAGGTGGGTGGATCACCTGATGTCAGGACCAGCCTAGCCAACATGGTGAAACGCCATCTCTACTGTAAATACAAAAAATCCTTCCATATTTTCTGTTACCCAAATTGGGAGTAGCTACTCAATAGGTATAAACCTTCAGTTATATAAGATAAATGAATTCTAGAGATCTGCTGTACAACACTGTGCCTATAGTGTATTGTGCCTATAGTGTACAATACACTGTAGGCACAGTGGCACATGTCTGTAGTCCCAGCTACTCAGGAGGTTGAGGCAAGAGGATAGCTTGATCCCAAGTGTTTGAGTCCAGTATGGGCAATGCAGCAAGACCCCATCTCTAGAAAAATAATGATAATAATAAAGATTTTAAAAAATGTTTTTACCACAATAAAATAAAAAAAATTTTTTTTAAGTTACCCTCATCTCAGGCTCATGGCTGTGCATACTAAGAGTGAGTCCAGCTGAAGGAGCAGCAGGCTGGTGTGACAGTCTCCAACTTAGTCATCAAGTAGAATGACATGTGGATCACCATCACTGATTCTTTCCTGCTTTGGTTTGGTTTATTTTTTACGATTTTTGTTTTGTCACACACATACAACTGATTTAATGTAAATCAATTCACCTATAGAGCATCTCTACTGTAGAACTATCTTATTTGTGTAAAATAAATAAATAAAAGAACACATATCCACAGATATACTCACCCATACACAGATTTTTCTGGAGGTGCACTCAAGAAACTGAAAATACAGGTTATTTTTGCCAAGAAGGACAAGGAATCTGGAGAACTGGAGTCAGAGGACATTTTACACTCTAATATTTTTGTATTATTTGAATGTTATCATGTATATGAATTATTTTTTAAAACTTACCAGTAAAAGTGCCATGTTTAAAAATACATAAAATCTAATGATTTAAGATATAAGTGTAGACTGAATACCTACTTACATCCCACTAATAACAACTGACTCCATCTCTACTCTAATTCTTAACCTTTGGGGGTCTCATAGAATCTTTGGAAATTAGGTAAGAACTAAAACCGTTTCCCCAATAGAAGGCATACAGATATACACACATATACCCATGAAGTCCATAAATATTACATTTACAGCTGTTGTAGTACAACATTTATCTGTGGGATTCCTGCCAAAAATGTTTAACCTGAATCTATCCATGAAGATATAATCAGATGAATCAAACATGCAGGGCATTCTTCAATATAACCAGCCTAGACTCCAACAATTTAATGTTATCAAACAAAGCAAAATAAAAACACAAATCCAAAAAGACTAAGAGACACAACAACTAAATACAATTTAAGAATATTGATCAAATCATGAATGGGGAGGGGAAGAAACCTATAAAAGATATATTTGGAACAATAAGAGAAATTCAAATCTGGATTCTGTATTAGATGATATTATAGAATTATTATTTATTTAAGTGTAATGATGCCTGTTAAACAATTGAGTAGTGAAAGTTATGATGTCTGCAACTTATTGTCATGGTTCAAAAAAGTACACCCAGAGATAGTGCAAATGAATGTGACTAAAGGTTAACAATTGCTGAAGCTACATAAAGGGGATATGGGTATCCACTGTACTATTTTTGTAACTTTTCTGTAAGTCTGAAATTTTCCTATATACAAAGTTAAAGGCAAAAAAAAAAATGCTAAAAAAACTTCACTCCCCTATAATTCTAACACAGCACGAACCACCAAATTTCCCCCTCTCCCACTTACTCTTGTGGCTTTCCATCTCCCTCTTTCTTGCCAAAATGTATTGTTAGTACTATTCAAGAAATCTAGCGCTTGATTTGTTTCTTCCAAAATTATTATGAAGCCTAGACAATGTCACAACCTGGGCTGTCTCTTCTTTTGTCTGTCTCTCTTGGCTAAACTATGAACTTGGTGAGGGAGGTCATCTTTATAATCCCAGTGTTGGTACACAATAACAAGAGGCAATAAACGTGAGGTGAACTTAAACTTTGGACTAGTTCACTGAACTTTAATACCGATTGTGCTACTCTTTAGCAAATTGGGTAACAGAAAATATGGAAGGATTTTTTTAAATGCTGAAACTAAACTGCTAAAATAAAATACTAGAGTTGCCTCTTCCTTAAGTATAGAGAAAATGGGCCTTGCTTATAAGTAGCTTTGTACCACATTAACAAAAGTCTGGAAATACAAGGCACACTCAAAGTTAATAAAGTTAAAATTTTTGCACTGCCATCTGTGCAGGCCACTGGCTTGGACTTCTACCTGTTAGTTTTTAATTCTCTAATTCTACACTAACAACATTTTCTGTGATGATGGAGGTGAAGAGCCTGTCACTGGCAACACAGCACTATCCTCATTTAGAGTAAATAAAACTATTTCAAGCAAATTGGAAACTGAATGACAGAAAGTGCCCACATATGGACCACACAGGGAATAGGAGTGGAATGCCCCACCATCCAGGAAGGAAGTTGGCACCAAAATGTTGGCAATAGACCAGAGTGGAACATCACTGTGTATGCAAGACAATCCAAATGAATTGTACTATCCTTTGAGATTAAGAAGCAGTTCATGAACTTTTCACTAAAATAAAAATCAAATCTATCAGTTGCCATTAGTGTTTCACTTTTTTAAAAAATGTTTCCTCTTAACTTCAGTCATTATTGCTCATTATTTTTTCCTCTTTCTTTTAATGTACCTTCTTTTCTCTTTAGAAATGTCTCTAGAATGGAAATACATGGACCTCATCCAATAGACACTTAAATTCTGTATGCTCTATGACATAAAGTTACTCCATTTACCATAAAGCTTAAGATCCCCAATGCAGACTCTTTATTAATAAAGTCATGATAATTTAGAAACTAAATTGACTTTAAATGAAGGTATTGCTAACAGCATCATGAGTGGCAGAAATCTGAGAACTTCTTTCTTTCTAGGGTGAAAAAACCACAGGCTAACAGTTTGTTGCCTGCCTATATGAAATTGCTTATTCTTTTAAAGACCAAGTATTCCCTTTGTCCTGTTCTCCTTCTTGCTTTCTGTTAATCTAGAAAGACATCAGAGGAGAATAAAAGAAGTAAGAAAAGTTTATGAGAACAGAAAATGTAAAATCATTTCTTTCACAGCAGCACTCAGGCAAGGACTCTACTTATTTAAGTAAATTGGGTAATTTACATATACCTATGCAGTGCTAGGTCTAACCCAGCCTTGCTCTGGATAAAATGTGTACAGCTCTCCCAAACTGATATATGACCTGTTGCATAATTACCCCTCACTGCATAACTGATCCTGCCTTCTGCTATTCCTTTCCCAATAACCAGTTCAAATATTCAAATTTACCAGCTCAGGCTCCATGTTCCTACTGGAACTCTTGACTTGGCTATAGGAAGAAGAAATAGTGACACACTTTTCGCTGCCTAAATATTTTCAGCCTCATTGCTTTCTGATTTGAAAGCCCACTGAAATTCATTATCTTGGTTAAGCGAAAAAAAAAAAAAAAAAAAAAATGAAGATACCTGTGGCTGGGGTAATAGTGGGACATACTGGCTCAAGACGGTTGTACTAGAAATAATTGGTGATGTAAAATATATTCCCTATCCTAGCCCACTCTTTTATTATCTTCAGTTTCTTTCTGTATTTTTCTGCTCTTTAACCCTTTTTTCTACCTTTCCACCCCTTTCACACCCTACGGTTATGTCAGTGACTGCCAAAGATGCCAGAATTGGTAAAGTTATTTTTGCTCCCTTCTCATTTTCATTCATTTGTCAGGTAGTGGCAGCAAAAAGGTTTAATTCAAATTAGTATAGAGTAAGCAACTTGTCTAAGTGCTCTGATATTTACTGAGTAGTGCTCTGTACAAGGAATGCAAGAGATAGAGAAACAGAGGGAAAAGCAACTAAATGCCAGTAAGGAGATAGTTTCACTAATCCCTACCAGGAAATTATACTACAGAGAAATTTTTTTCTAAGAACACTTAGACAAGAGAGCAAATTAAGTTTTACTAGACGTCATGTAAAGGAATCATGAAGCCCAAAGAGTATCATTCCTCTCATGTTTTTGCAAGCGGTGGGGAGTTGCACAGTACAAATATTTTTTCTTTATTTTTTGGCTCAGTATATATTTTTTTAATTTTTATATATACATAATAGTTGTACATATTTATAGGATACCTGTAAAGTTTTGATAACTTGCAATGCATAATTATCAAATCAGGGTAATTGGTATATTCATCACCTCAAGCATTTATCATTACTTTGTGTTAGGAACATTTCAATTCCAATCTTTATTTAGAAATATGCAATAAGTTATAGCTAACTCAAATGCCTACTCTTTAGCACAAAAGTAACGGAATAGATACAAAACGAGAGGAACTACATATCAAAGTTGTTTCCACCTACAGTGACTCTGATTTGAGAACAGAACTTATTTTGCCTCTTCCAAAAAATGATACAAATGAAGCTGTGCAGATTGACTAGGATTGTACAGACAAGCTAAGCATCCAGGTCTACATAACATTTTTAAAAAAGCGGGGGTAGTATCTGACTGGTAAGTTACCCCTCTTTCCTTCTTTTTGTTACCCAGGGAATTAAGCAAGTTGAGAGAACAGGGCCTGGGTAATTACCCAATTAAACATTTTCCTAGCATTGGGAAATCATGACACATGCAAAGGACAACACCAGTGGGAGAAGGCAGGAATGAAGAAGGAGACAAGTGCCAATCAGAGGCAAAATCCAAGGCCCTTATGGCCTGACTATAAATAATTGCTTTTCCTCACGTTCTTGTCACCTCTTCCTAAAATTAGAATTAGCTTCCTGGCCTGAAGACTAAACCTCACTCTAACACCCGCCTTTCTCATAAAGCAGTATTCCCTAATGCAATAAGGTGGTGGGATGTCAACAGCAGCAAGAGTTTAGGAGTCAGGTAACTCCTTGCTCAACTCCTAATTTTTTTTTTTTTTTTTTTTTTTTTAGACAGACTCCCACTCTGTCACCTCAGCTGGAGTGCAGTGGCACGATCTCGGCTCACTGCAACCTCTGCCTCCCACCGCCTCCCAGGTTCAAGCAATTCTCCTGCCTCAGCCTCCTGGAGTACCTGGGATTACAGGTACATACCACCACACCCAGCTAATTTTCTGTATTTTAGTACAGATGGGGTTTCACCATGTTGCCCAGGCTGGTCTCAAACTCCTGACCTCCAGCAATACCCCCACCTCAGCCTCCCAAAGTGCTAGGATTACAGGCGTGAGCCATCGCGCCCGGCCAACTCCTGCTTTTCATTTCAGAGCTTTATTAACCTCTGAGCCAGGCTTCTTCATCTAATAAACGGGGGTGAGGATGATGATGATGGTAACAGCTAGTAATCGTAAAAGAGGCACTGTGCAAAGTGCTTTACATGCATTTTTTTTTTTTTTTTTTTTTTTTGAGACGGAGTTTCACTCTTGTTACCCAGGCTGGAGTGCAATGGCAAGATCTTGGCTCACTGCAACCTCTGCCTCCTGGGTTCAAGCAATTCTCCTGCCTCAGCCTTCCGAGTAGCTGGGACTACAGGCTGTGCCACCATGCCCAGCTAATTTTTGTATTTTTAGTAGAGACGGGCTTTCACCGTGTTGCCCAGGATGGTCTCGATTTCTTGACCTAGTAATCCACTCACCTCGGCCTCCCAAAGTGCTGGGATTACAGGCGTGAGCCACAGCACCCGGCCCCTTTACATGCATTATTTATGTAATAAGCAGTATTCATGATTATTACTATTGCAAGTGTAGTCCTCCTTTACAGATGAAGGAACTGCAATTCTGAGGAGTTAACTTTCCCAAGGTTTAATCTCAATTCCTTAACTCTTGACCCTTTCTACTACTATAATAATACCTGCCTAAACAAGGTATAACATTAACATATATGGACACACCAATTAATGTTATTGTCGTCACTTTTGATGTTGCTCTTGAGCGTGATACTGTTTTCAATGCTTTTCTCTCTCCCCAGATACTAGGAGTTCTAAGATCTAATAAACACAAACCATCCACCCATATACTTGCAGATCTAAACCAATGTCATGGGGACATTTGTGAGCACCAAATATCAAAGCTGATATACCTTTTAGATGTTTCATTATTAAAATATATCTGTTGAGCATGAATGAGAGAGCAAGAGAAAAAGAAATGGGATTCAGTACTACCTAAAATGATCCCCCATGCTTACATTTTTAAAAATGACAAATGAAAGGTACACTGCTCTTACATGTGTCACTTAGATTTCTTAAGATAAAATTGTGTATAATATGCTAATTTTTGACTATTCAAACTGCATTTTTGCTTTATTCATATCTTCTAATTCACTTTCAATTGTAATGAAATGACTATAATACGTTTAAACCTCTGACACGCTAAAATACCAATCAGATTAAGCACAATAGCAAGCATTTGGCATACACCTGGAGACTTTCTTAAATAAAATAAAATTATGATTACATTTCATCACTTCCTTTCTTATTGCCAACTAATGTCCCATGTCTGAAAGGGTCATTTTCAAGCTACACATCTATTTATAATAGTGTGTTCACTGTCTTCCTTCCTCTGGCACATTATCTATGACCTTGACCATTTCAGGATGGATAAAAGAGTGCCATAAACATATGTTTATGAAGCTCAGACATCTTGTAAGAGATTTTGTGGTTATTAAAGGCAGTAAAGAGTGACAAGGACAGTTCTATACTATAACACTGCCTGTCAAGAGAAAAATGTCACCCTTACCGTAAAGTACCCAGAGGCATAATTAGGAGGTGGCAAAGGGAGTGATTTCCTGGGCACAGTAATGACAGGGCTGCAATGAAACCCAGCAGCAATGGAAGCTGCCTTCTGTCCTACATGGAGCCCCGGTTCACAACAAGGATCCAGGGCATAGTCATGCTCCCATATCCAAAACGTGAAACATCAAGGAATGCCCAGGACAGCCACACTCATAAAGAGGTGGGCACAGGAATTTCTGGGAGCAAATGAGATATTCTGATGTTTCTGACGTTTCCTAATTGCATCATTATGAAAATTAAAATAATGAATCCTCCTGGGCACGAAGAACATTAAAGAAGTTGAAACTTCACAGTTCCAGATGTTCCCTACCCATAAACACAGATCCATACAGTCCCTACAGAACTATAAATAAATCCTGCCTGAAGGTCTCCTTCCTGTTCACATGTTTCTCCATAAAACTTAGTAGTATCTCTTTCCTTTTATGTTAACTCTTAACCTTGTGATTCCTGTCCATCAAGGACAAGAGGTACAAATAAACTAGGCTTTATCACAATTCCCCCTGAAAGAGTTTCCTTTCCCATGACCAAATGAATTTTTAAAAATCCCTGTAAAGTTATGCGCTGCTTTGGGGCCCTTTCTGTAAAACAGGGAGTTCAGTGTATCCCTAGACATCCTTCCAGCTCAAACATTTTCTAATTCTGGGATGTGTGAGGCTGGAGATGAGAGAAGTCTCAGGAGCAGCCCCAGAAGACTTTATCCTAGTTAGGAGCCCCTTCTCAGAGTTGGGAGCCCACCTCCGGCAGCTGCAAGGCCTGGGGCTGGGAGGTTGGCATCTGTCCTTCTCAGGGTTAACATTGGCTTCAGCCAGGGAGTAGTTTTCTCTCAAGTGATTTTTCTCACTTACAGAAAAATCTTATCTTTCTCACTTTTACAATCAGTATCATTCACCTGTCAGCACCCACTCCTATCCCAGCTTCTCCACTTAGTAGATGTGTGACCTCTCTGGGCCTCGGTTTCCTCACCTGTAAAAACAGCATAGTAATGACATCGATTGCTGATGCAATGATTGAATTAGTTAATGCATGGAAAGTGTTAGAACAGTTCCAGAGTACAGGGAACACCAGGCAATTGCTAACCACCGTGTGTATTATTACTGCTGGTAGTAGTAGTGTTCCCTCTCACCAACACTAGGCATCCCAATACTACTGTCTTTCCCTTATCTTTTCAGTCTAATAAGTTTGGAGTGGATGGTTCAGATCCCCATTTTAAGAGCCCCATTGGACTTCACAAGGCCTCCTGCCAGTGCTCTGAGACTCTACTGGAAGGTTTTCATTTTCTCTTGACAGGAGGCACTGTATATGGAAAGTGTCCTTGCCACCTCTATAGTATAAAAAACTACCGGGCCGGGAGCGGTGGCTCAAGCCTGTAATCCCAGCACTTTGGGAGGCCGAGGCGGGTGGATCACGAGGTCAAGAGATCGAGACCATCCTGGTCAACACGGTGAAACCCCGTCTCTACTAAAAATACAAAAAATTAGCTGGGCATGGTAGCGCGTGCCTGTAATCCCAGCTACTCAGGAGGCTGAGACAGGAGAATTGCCTGAACCCAGGAGGCGGAGGTTGCGGTGAGCCGAGATCGTGTCATTGCACTCCAGCCTGGGTAACAAGAGCGAAACTCTGTCCCAAAAAAAAAAAAAAAAAAAAAAAAAACTACCAAATGTGACTAAGAATCATAAACATGTCAGTTATTTGATTTGATGGATCTACATCATAACTGAAATAGTCAAGGTCACAAACAATGGGCTAAAGCACCATACTACCAATCCTGAATTTTCTCCAACTTTTCTTTAATATGTACTTTTTAGCATTTTAGAGTCCTTTTGAGTGCCTGTGTAGGAGGAATTAATTCCTCTCTAATAACATATGTATTTTGAATAACACCCCAGTTATAGATTGACTCAGGGTGACAACAGGAAATGGCAGAAAAATAATGGTCTAAAATATTCCCAAACCCAAACCTCTTCTCTCTGAAACAGGTATAGAGCTATGTAAAGTAAGCTACCACATCATTCACTTCTGCCCACAGTATTCAGTAATATTCAAAGGCTGTGCTGTTGAACTAATATTTTACCTAAAGTTAAAAAAAAAAAAGATAACAAATCCAATCATTTATTTTTTTGCCCAATACTTGACACCTTTACAAGCTTTACCTAAAATGATAATATGTTCTAATCACTGAAGGTTTTATTTTATGAGATTCTATAATGTCAACATATATCATGAACTAATTTATCCTTGTCCAATTTAAATCTAGACAGATATCGTGGTACCAGTCAAGGTAAATGTGGTCAGAATCACTGAAATAGAATGATTTACTTAACACTATGCACATTCTTCATGAGGTGGGGGCAGATATGTTCCTAAGAAACTGGGAAATCAGAGTAATATTATAATAAATAATGTATTTAAAAACTGAATACCTTTACCTTAGTATGGGTGAAGTGGAAATGTGAGGGAAGTCTTCCTGCTGGTATATTGGTCAAGAGACAACTCTGTTCTCCACTATCTTCCCCGCTGGAGGGGTCCAGACATGTGTACGTGGGTGGGGAGGGAAGACGGTGTCCTATCACAACCTCAAATGGGTATACCTAAAACCCAGGATATTGTACAGTTTCAAATTCACTCAAGTCTCCTCACTCAACCCATTTAGACAGTGATGTAATCCATCATGTACAACATACAAAGTGTGGTGAGGAATTGAAAGTGTCATCTCTAATTAGCTCATTCCTCGGTACTAACCATGGGAGTGGGGCTCAACCCCAGACTTTTGGGGGCCCCATATGTCCATTCCATCAGTGGTCAGTGAGTGACTTCCCCCTGCCATTTTCTTCCTTACATTTCGTCCCTAGCTCTCATAGTTCCTGTCTCCCTAAAGTTTCCACTCCTCTGGTGTCCTGGTCACATGAATGGAGTTTTATTTATAGTCATTATCTGCCCACATGGTTCTGTTGCTAGATGGGGAAGATTAAGATAATTGTGGGTGGAGGTGCTGGGGGACAAGTTCTTCACAATGATGTGGTCTCTCTCAGGGACACTAGCCTAAATCACAAAGGTTAATCTCTTGCTGGTACAATTGTCCTACTTTACCAAGCTAAAGAGGCTCAGCCTCCTTCCCAGCTTTAAGTTGTAGTTCAAAAAGCTGCCTTCAATTTCCATACTACTCTAGATAAAATAGCTTCCCCAACCCTCTCTATCCCATTAATTAGATTAACTTTATTCTCAGCATTTAACATTGGGCAAAATGTATAATTAACTTTTTTACACACTAATTGTCTCTGTCCCTCACTCCCTGCCAACCGCACTGAAATGTAAGGATTCTGATAACATTTGTATTTTGTATTCATATTCACTAGAATGTGAATATCTTAGAATATTCACAGCTTTATATGCAATTCCTATAAAGGTGCCTGGCACAAGGTAGGCAGGTTCCAGACTTGCATGTCCAATTGTTTGTTGGTTTATCACATGGGCATCTCAATCACTTGGACACTTGGACAAATCACTCAATCACTTGGACAAACCTGAATTCTGGAAAGCTGTTCTTAGAAAATCCATCTTCCTCCTATATTTTCTACCATCTACCATTTTCCCCAGCTAGAAAATTATCATCCTTTAATTAACTGCTCCCCTTTTCCTTTCTTCAATTCCCCCACATTCCTAATTCTTCATCTCCTTCCTCTACACATATCTCACCTCCCCACATCTAATTGGCTTCCAACTTGTGCCAATTCTTCCTCCTCAATCTTCCCTCTTTCCTACCTTTAAATGTTACCACTTCTGTGAAGCCTCTTCTTTACCACTACTGTTAGTAGCTTTGATCTCTGTGCTTCATCCCATTGTGTCTCTTCAGTTTTTTTAGGTCATTTTAGGATTTCACACTTTTTTGATATCTGCTACAAATCATGGGCCCAAGAAAGTCTGTTTACACTCAGAGCTTTACATAAAATGACGACACTCTATATTTCAAACCTATTACTGTAACATGCGTCATGGCTATTGTGTTATATTTATTTATATCCTGTTTTCCTCACTAGAATGTAAGAAGTTCTAGGACCAGGTTATATCATGCTATCTTTTTCATAAAACCCCTTTGTGTATAGCGCTGTGCTTAGTATGTACAAGGTACTAAAAATCATCAACTGACTGACTGTCTACTGCAATATTTAGATGTTAGGTTAAGACAGCATCTCCATTTGAATATCACCCTCACAATTTTTGCCATATCTGCTACAACCTGTTCTATTATTTACTTAACCATTTCTGTTGATTGTTTATAAAATCTTTACCAAAGATTCTTCCCATTTCCGAACATATATGCCAATAACCCCCCAAAAGGTGTGGAGTCTATTTCTCCTCCCCTTGAATCTGGACTTGTTTTGTCACTTGATTTGACCAGTTAAAATGTAGTAGTAGTGATGCATTGTGACTTTTAGGTCTGGGCCTTAAAAGACTTTGTAGTTTTCTTTTTTACTGTCTTTGTATCCAGCCATCATGTTAAAAAGCTCCATGTGGTCTCTCATCAGTAGGAAGTGATGAGATACCCCTAAGCATGGAAAGGCTTGACCAGCTGCAGCCATTCTGGCCACCCCAGCTAGGCTGCCAGATGTATGAGTGTCTTAGTCCATTCAGGCTGCCGGAACAAAATACTTTAGACAGTAATTTATAAACAACAGAAATCTATTGGTCCTAGTTCTAAAGGCAGGAAGTCCAAGATCAAGGTATCAGAAGATTTAGTGTCTGGTGGGGACTTGCTCTGCTTCATAAATAGAGCCTTCCTGCTGCACCTTCACATGGCAGAAGGGGTAAACAGCCTCCCTCAAACCTCTTTTATAAGGGCACTAATTCCATTCATGAGTGCTCTGCCCTCATGACCTAATCATCTCCTCAAAGTCTCACCTCTTAATCTTACACTGAGTCTTCAGTTCCAACATTTGAATTTTGAGAGGACACTAACATTCAGACCACAACAATGAATAAAGCTATCTCGGTCCTTCCAGCCTCAACCAAACTCTCAAGCCACAGGAATGCCCCCAGCAGACCTCATAGAGAGAAGAATTGCCTAGCAGAGCCCAGCCAACCCACAGAATCCAAATAAGTAATTGTTTTTTAAACCAGTATGTTTTGGAAGTAGTCCATACAGCAATAGATAGCTGATGTGATGCTTTTCTTTAAAACTTTTTATAAATCTAAGTCTGTGTTAAAAAAATTTTTGTCACTTCTATAAATACAAAATTACTATCACTTTGCATAAAACTAACCACAATGAAAGAAGAAACAAAGCAATGTTATTCATTTCTAGCCAGATACTGCTGCCTACAATAGCCTCTCTTTTTGTTCCAAAGGAAGATCCTCAAATGTCAGAGAGATGTTAAAGATACACCAGAACTAAATTAGGACTGCCTCCTTGGTGTGAGTTAAGCTAAAATGAAATGGAAGGGAAATAACATGCTCAACTCCGAAATTTTATAGTATTTAATGCTGTCTATCACCAAAAACCATTATCTTATAAAGTAATACAGGTGGTAAACAGCTACCGCAAAAATTGTGAGGGTGTTTACTCAAATGACTGATATTCGCAAGATGCTGCATTAACCTAACACCTGGACACTGAAGTAAGTAGGCAAATAGGTGATCAGTATTTTTACTACCTTCTATGCATCAGGCACAATGCAAAACAGAATGGGGTGTAGATAAAATATAGAACATAATGCACTGCTGTGCTTGAAGTGCTTTTACTCTTGTGGAGATGAGGGAAATATAAATAGTTATAACACATTAACTATGGTAAATGTAACTATACAAGATTTAAAATACAAAGCCCATGGACTCAGACATTGTCCAGAACATGAAATCCTTGACACTTTGTGCAAATGTATGAGGATATATGGATATACGGGGCCCATAACTTTCATTAGATTATCAAAGAAGTACATTGAAACACATTCTGTAACATAGGAGGCACTGGAATAATTAATGCATGGCATTGTTGGTTCTTGATTCTTGCCTGGATGTTCTTTTTTAGTTTGTCATTTTGGAATCATAACTGTTGCCTCCTCCTTGTTCTTTATGATTTTATACTTTTCTCACATAGCTGTATGAAAGTTATCTTTAATTCCCTGATGACCAAACTCCCCTAAAGGTCGCTACCCACATTTTAAGCTCTTTGAAGCTAGAGACATGCCATATAGCTTCCTGCCTTCTATTATCAATAAACATCTGTTAAATGAAGAATAAACCTTGTAGAACTCCTGCAGGAATTTTTCCTGCTGTCTAGGGCTGATTAAAAATGTTTTCCATTGCTCAGACTATGAAAACTGAGTGTGTTTCTAATCCGAAATGTATGCACAATAAAATATTTGGGAAAAGGCACCAAGTTCTTCCTGCAATGTGTTCTGTGCATATATTCACAAACATCTGTCTGGAATGGCATTTTATGTCTATGCCTGTTTAGGTCAATGTTGAATATTTTAAATGGTGTGGGAACTGTGTTTATTTACATACTGCATAAAGCAGCCATTGCAATGTTATTCACACATGGGGCCTCTGGGTTTCTCCTGAGCATGAAAGTGCTGCTGTTTACATTTATGCTTTTCTCACTGTTTCTTCTTTTATCCTATCCTTCCAACTTAGCAATTTTGTCTTCCTCTGGAGCTGAAATTCAGTAAAAAATATAGGCCTCTAAAATGTTAGTATTTTAGTCCTAATTTTTTTTAACATTTTTTAGCTATCCTGTGAACTAAATGATCTGAAGCCTCCTCTGTTAAAAGTTCTTCAAGGTTTGACATTTAACTTTATTCTAAAATAGTTCTTGCATGAAAAACCAAGAAAGGGAGGATTGTGGTTTGTATCTTGGCATGGAATTTTATATGAGTGGGATAGAAACAGAGTAGTGGTGTTGAAGCTGTCTGCAGGATTTACTGGCACTGATTGGGAGCAGGAGCAGCCCAGTCGCCAAACAAGCCCATAATTCATATGACTAATTCTAGATTTTGCCTTAAGCCTCCACCCGAGCCCCCACCCCGCCACACACACAATAAACATATATGGATATGTTAACAAAGTCATCACCTCATTCTCTTCAAAATGATTGATTCTCATAACACCCATGCCTCAGCATTTCCAGGTAGGAAGGGGGCCTTCAGAACAAGAGGTTGCAAAGGGAAGCAAATTCAAGTGAAAAACCCTGCAAAACTTTCTGGGAGGCGATAGAATTCAACATCTCATTCCAAGATGTGTTCTAGTAGGCGTGCTTCTGAGCTATAAGAGCATCTGTGTTACGGCTTTGAAAATATTTTATATATACATTCTCAAACACTCTAAAACTTTATTTTTTCTAAATTCTTTTTAACCTCAACTTCTGTTTTTAAGGCAAGCTTAAGATTCATCTAAATATATTCTTTGGTTAAGTGAGTCCTATTTTAATATGTGAAACACCATTTTCATCCATCTATACCTCTGAACCTTTTTAATAATGCCTCATTATAATTAGGAGTTCAGACTGGTTAGCCATGACATGACAGTCATCTACAGAGACTTAATACACTATGTATGTGGAATAGAAAACACCTACCACTTGGAGTGTACAGCTCACTTAATATAAAGTAGCAGATTTTGAGGGAAATGCACAGAGTGACTGCGAGATGCACGCCAAAGCCCCGCCTCCAGTGGCCCAAATAACGATTGCAATGACAGCCCTTGGAACAGTAGGGAAAGTTGTTTTCAGGCTAAACCCTCACAATTTTTCTCTTAAAACCCTTTCCAAAAGAGAACAAAGCAGCTGTGTGTGTGTGTGTGTGTGTGTGTGTGTGTGTGCATGTGTGCTCCCACACGTGCGTGTGTATGTTTTCCTGTTTTAAGGGTAGAAAGTACTAGAAGTAGATAGTAGATAGTGCCTAAGATGCCAACATAGGCAACTGAAGAAGGTGGAGTAGATATGGAGAGGATTAGACCAGAAGTCCTACAATAGATTTTTCCAAGTACAAAAGTCTCTGATTAGGGGCAACTGAATGTGCACATAAACCCTGCTTCTCCTCAATGTAATAAGCAAAAGGAAAAAAGCTGACTTAAAGATGAAGGAGGATGAGCAGGCAGGAAAATGTGGTCAGAGTGCAGCCCCTCAAAGGCTGTGACGAGGGGTGGAGGCTCCCCAATGCTCCAAGCCCCTTCTCAGCAAAGGGGGCAAAGGCCATCTGTATATTGTACACAGCTGGAACTCCCCTCCATCTGGTAAAGGCGCCCCTATGCACCTGAATAGATTGTGCATTCACACAATCATTTTCAAGGTGACAACAAATCCCAGATTCTTCAGAAGAAAAACTTCCCTGTTTCCTTGGTCTAACCTGATAATGATGTGAAAGAACCCAGAAACAGTCAAAATGTCTATTCATTTCTCTAACCTAACATTTATCAGTATGTGACCTTATGTTAATGGCTAAGCCAGTCTCAGCTCCAGAGTTTTTCAACTGCAGAATGGACATAAATGCAATGCTATATTACCAAAAGAAAGTGGTGAGGACAAGAAGAGAGGCCTGGGAAGAGCCCATGTCTGTTTGTGCCCATGAGGGGAGAGTGAGAGGTATGGCCTTTCATGCAGCACCCTGGTATACATGGCATGAGAACCACAGACCACACCTTCATCTGTCAAATATACTAACTACGGCAAGAGGCCCGATGAGCCACCTGAGTGGCTCCCACCCATGTATATGCTCTGTGTCCAAACACCCAGCCTGTATCCTGTAGCCAGTACAGCTCAGGCTTCTAGCTAAGACCCATCCTGCCCCTTGTGCACTGGAGCCCATTCTTCTCATCTACTTAAAAACATTGTTCCAACAATTGTCCACTTGCTCTTGTACCACCAAGTTGTTATTCTCTACTGGATCATTCCCAGCATACAAATGTGCTGTCATAATTTCTTCCACATAAAAGATGTTTTAAAACTCTCCTGGCTCCACATCCTCCTCCAGCTACCACCCTATATCTCTTCCTTTTTAGAGTAAAACTCCTCTAACGTGTAGTCTCTACTCTGCCTCCAGTCCAGCTACTCCCATTCCTTCTGGAATCCATTCCAAACAGCTTTCATCCTCATTACTTCATCAAAATAGTTCTTGTCAAAGTCACCAGTGACCTCCCCATTGCTACATCCAACAGTGAGTTCTCAGCCCTCCTCTCCCTCACCCTGTCAACAGTACCTGGCACACCTGATCACTCCCTCTTTCTTAAACCACTCGGCATCTGGGACATCACTCTGTTCAGAACCCTAAAACATTATCTCATCTCACTCTGAATAAAAGCCAAAGCCTTAGAATGGCTTAAAAAGCTTTCTTTGATTTCTTTACTAGGAATTCTCTTCCTCTAACCACAGAACTCATTCCCTCAATTCTATTAGTTCTAATGTTACATTTTGTTCTGTAGATCTTGCCCTAACATCCTATATATAATAATCGCCTCCCTAGCTTCCCTCCTATGTCCCTTACCAGAAGCTTCATATTATAGTCCATGTTATATAATTACAGGTTTACTTATTTTACATAAGCTGAGTTTGTTCACTGCCATATTGCCAGCACCTATAACAGTATCTGGCACATAGTAGGAAGTTAAGTATTTATGGAGTGATCTAGGGAAGGAATGCTAAACCCTAGAAACTGAACGGAGGCTGGGCACATAACCAGCCTTCAATGTTTGCTTCAGAGAAGGAGTTCTCAGAATACAAGTGGACAGTGCTAGGAACATTCTGTACACCCTATTTATATTAGGCTGGAAAGACCACTCCCTGTCTAAGGATAACACAGGACAAAGTCAATACAGTATCTCTGAAGACATTCTACAATACCATAGAAACTTTTCAGTAACATTTGTTTGGTGCCCTAAACAGAGGTGTATGAAAACACAGTCTCTATGAAGTAAGATGAAAAAACTTCAAGAACTAATAGGCTAAAATGAAAACAGAAAAGAACATGAAGCCACTGGACTAAGAAAAAAATACAAGGAAACACAAAATGCCATACCAGAATTAAAGTATTCCTTTGAAGCAGTAAAGACCATAATTAGTACTGCAGAAAATCAATTGTGATGTGGATAGATGAGTAACTCTTTTAAAATCCACAAAGCTTAAAAAAATACATAAACAAGATTAAATTTCCCAATATATTAATAATATCAGCATCTTCAGTGATTTTTCTGTTGTTATATATTTCTATTCTAAACTTTTAATAATATACATATAAATCACAATAATAAAAGAGAAAAATGGAAAGTAAAAACTTTACATATATAAACTGTTTATTCATAGTCTCTATCTTATGAGAGGAAAATTATTCCCTAGCCCATTATCCTCCTTACAGCCCAGCAACGTTATTCCTCCCCACAGCACTTGACTACCCAAAAACTCATTTTACTGGAAATAATCAAAGGATCTGGCTTTTTAAAAATGACTAGATCTAAGGAAGGTTCCAAAACTTTGGGTAAAACTAGGAGCACTGAGAAACAAGCATGAAACTGAGGAAACTATTTTCTTCGTGTTTCTTTTTTTTTTTTTTTTTTTTTTTTTTTGAGATGGAGTTTCACTCTTGTTACCCAGGCTGGAGTGCAATGGCGCGATCTCGGCTCACCGCAACCTCCGCCTCCTGGGTTCAGGCAATTCTCCTGCCTCAACCTCCTGAGTAGCTGAGATTACAGGCACGCGCCACCATGCCCAGCTAATGTTTTGTATTTTTAGTAAAGACGGGGTTTCACCATGTTGACCAGGATGGTCTCGATCTCTTGACCTCGTGATCCACCCGCCTCGGCCTCCCAAAGTGCTGGGATTACAGGCTTGAGCCACCGCGCCTGGCTTCTTCATGTTTCTCTACCTCTCACAGTGATGGGGGCACAACCATTTTGTTAAAATGCCTGTTAGGATGAAGAGTGCCAATTTCCACTTACAAATACATATTCTGAGTATGGGATAACAAAATGTTCTTAGGCTACTGAGCCTACGTGTATGTTAGAGTTCTGATGGGAAATCGGCCTATGATCCCATAACCCTAATGCAGTGGACTTAGCTATTTCAGGAACACTTCCAAAATTGCAGTTAGGACTTTTAAGCTTCAGTTGGCTTTGCTGGCATGTAGCACTATTTCTTTCCCTCCTTCTCCAAATTTGCAAGCTCGTTTCTTCTTAAATTCTCCATGAGATGATGCATGAATGCATTTTATTTCCTCAATGGAGATGTAGATGCTGCACAGATGTTAGACTTGAAATCACCAGGTGGTACTTGGAAGCAGGAACTAAATTGCTGTTGCCAGGGTAACCACACATTCTTCCAGCTATGGGAAGAGCTGCCATGTTTTCTATGCTCTAGGGAATATGTGTTATTTTAAAAATTGGTTTAGTGCATATGAATATTTACTATTTAAAAAGAATACCCATTTCTTCACAAACCAGTGAAATACTTTTTGATTACTCACATGCCTGAAAAAAAAACATTTTATCTTTTCAGGGTATCAGGACTCACCTTTCTTTGCCAATAGAATTGTAAAGTTCCAGTAATAACTAATATTTTATGCTACCCATAATATACTGGTACATCTCATTTTATACATTACACAGACTCACTACAAATATGCAATCAGAGCTTACTATTTAAAGAAGTACCACTGTGAATTCTGTAAGGAAATGCATTTACAGAATGTATTCATCAGTTATTAAAATCCTTACTACTATTCACAGTAAAATCTGAGAGGCAGAGGTGAATCTTCAGAGATTCCCAAAGTTCCACTGGAGTCGACAAACCTTTGGTGTGGTTTGAGATCATACAGACAAGAAAGTAGCAGTCCCACAACACAACACCCAAAACCAAGCAAAAAGAAGCCAATGACACAAATATTCTTATATCTAGCCTTTCTATCTTCCATCCTTCCCTCCCTCCTTCTTTCTCTCCCTCTTTTCCTTACTTCCATCCTTTTTCCGTTCCTTTCATCCTTTTCTTTTTGTAACATCTATTTACTGAGCTCTTACTTGGCACAAGGAACTGTGGCAGGTACTGGGAGACTTTCTGTAGGGATTAGTCGAGGTGCAAGTGATATGGCAGGCTCATCTTCAACTGTACTAGACTTTGTTGAATTGTTTTCCAAAGTGGTGATGCCAGTGAAAGTCTCCCATGAGCAGTGCATAAAATGTCTTTGCTATACATCCTCACCAATACTTGATCTCTGGTGAATGTAAAATCCTACTTTCTGGTGGTTTTAATTTTGTGTTTCCCTGATCACTATTTTCATATGGTTATTGGTCGTTCAGGTTTTCTTTTCTGTCCACTGCCTGTTCACATCCTTTACATATTTTTCTATTGGGTTGTCTTTTTATTGATTTATGAGGGTTCTTTATGTACACTGTGTATAAAATTTTTTATATGTTTAAATCTCTTTCTCACTCACTTTTCACTTGTTTAGGTAGTGTTTAATTTCAGAAATTTCTAATTTTAACATAGTCAAGTTTATCCACCTTTTTCTTTAATGTTTATGTTTTTGTACATTGTTTAAGAAATTCTGAGGTATCCCAAGGTGATAAAATATTTCCTTTTAGATGTTTAAAAATTGTACTTTTCACATTTAGGTCTTCAGCCTACCTGTGATTGATTTTTGCACACGGCATGATATAGGGATATAATTTTACTTTTTCACATGTGAGTAACTAGTTGTACCAGAATCCATTACTGAATCATCAAACTCTTCTCCTATATTACCTATTATATATAACAAGTTTCCACTTGTGTGTGGGTCTGTTTCCTAACTGTTCCTTCTGTCCCATCAGCATGTATGTCTATGCCTTTGCCATCATTGCCCTTCCTTGATTACGATGGCTTCATAATAAGTCTTGAGATCTATTAATGTATATATCTGCATCTTGGTCATCTTCAAAATTATCTTAACTATTTTTGGCCTTTTACTCTTTGTGAAGAGTTCAGAATAGGCATACTGAACTGCTACTGTCACCACAGGTCTTTTATACCATAGATTATGCAGCTGGATTTTTACACACAAAAGTTAATCAGAAAATATACAATCTGTTAATTGGGAGTGCTGTTAATTGGCTACAAAGTTGTATATACAAATAAGTTCTAAAAATGCATGAACTTTGAGCACATTTCATGCATTAAGCACTGTGCAGGTTACCTTGCACATATTAATTCAGATGGTCCTTCCAGTAATGTTGTAAGTAGATAATATAATCCCAAATTTGCAGGTGCAGAGACTGAAGATCAGAGAAGTTAAGTGGAATGCGTAACAAAGGTGTAATAACCAGCAGTAAATGTTAAGGTGAAGATTCAATTCCAGATCTTTTCAGGTTCCAAAGTCCTTGCTTCTTCTCTAATATCACTTCAAACTATGCCAAAACCTTCTAGTTTAAAATGATAAACATAATGAGACTTCTATTTGTATTGCATGTAGGTACCCTGCATTTAGAGATGCCTATTTACAAATTGTCATTTGTCCATATGTTGAACAATTCAGTCATTTATTTGAAATGGAAATACCTATACTATACTAGACACTAGGTATTCTTAAAAGCAGCTCAAAATTGACCTGAATGTCAACACACTCTGAAAAAAGTTAGAAAAGGTGAAAATGTCAAATTAGCTGGAGTTCAAGGTTCTCTGATTACTTTGAAAGGCTGCAGATTCACTACCATTAATTTTGCTCAAGGGTTGTTCGTGTGTGTGTGTGTGTGTGTGTGTGTGTAGTCTGAGCTGACAACCCAAAGAATTTTAAATCATTTCAAAAGATTCTCTAAATAAGTTAGGACAAATTCACAGGTAGCTACTAATTTAGATATTTTCCAATTTAGGCCACATCACATGTACTACACAGAGACAGTCACATGGGAAAGGCTCCCCAACAAAACTTCAACTGGCCTGCGCACTGGGGCGGAGCCACAGAAGTCTGCAGGGAGGAGCCCGGCCCCTCCTCTTCCTGGGTGAAACCTGGGATTCAATCAGCAAGGCGGGAACCCAGGGGCAAGAAGCACACTCTCTTGCTTTGCTAAGAGTCTCCATTTCCCCTTGTTTTCCTTTCCACCCAATAAAACCTTGCCTTACTCACCCTTTAAATTGTCTGCAAGCCTAAATTTTCATGGCCCTATGACAAGAACCCCATCTTTGGCTGAACTAAGGAAAAGTCCAGCAACAACACTACATGTAATTAAGTGAGCAAAGGATGTCTTATAATTTCAGGACAGGTTACTCACATGGAAATTGTGATGACATCTCTTTTTTGATCAATTAAAGGTAAAAAGTCTGGTTCTCTTCCTATATCCTTTGGGTAGCACAGTACATGGATCTCTGAGCTTTAGTTTCCCAGTTTGCAAAAAAGGAGAAAATTGTAATATCCATCTCAAAAGTTCATGATATTAAATGTGTAATGCATTTGGAAAAAAGTGCTTTATAAACTATAATGCATTAAGTGCATGTTACTTATTGTTAGATAAAAATTTAATAATCAAAACGACTGTTTCTAGAGCTCATGAGTGAGCTAAAAAACAGTCTGTACTCATTTCTGAATGGAAAAGACAGGGCAGGGGAAATGAAAAAGATTTCTAAACAGAAATAAGAACAAAACAACACAAGTTATTTCAAGTTTTCTTAAGAATGAGAATAAATATATTTGAGACAATAAAACTTCTCAGTGCCTTATTACAGGTGGCATCCTCCTTGTAGGGGATAGTGGCATTATTATCGTATCTGCATCTTCCAAAATTCAGGACCACTGAAACCATAACAGAAGAATCTTGGGAGGTAATGTCAAAGAATCAAGACTTTTTGCTATGCTTAAGTCCAAGCTTTAATGTGATTTTAATCTAGTGCATATCCAATGAGGAATTTAACTGTGATAATCCTGAAAAGAAATATTGGATGAGAAACAAGAGGCCAAAACCCACAAATCTCACGGGCCACTCCTGACATGATTCTATGTCAATAGACTAGTTTTTAGCCAGAGGCTTTTCCGAGCATTCTGTCTTTCAGTTACAGTTTGCAAACCACTGGAAATAAAATGCATCATCTTAAATTGCAAGAGCATGTAGAAAAAAAGTAGCAACAGCATTACAGAAATATGATTTATAGCTAAAAGGGTGTGATATTCTGATGCCTTTCTCCTTGCTTTTAGATTCCTATAAGGTCCAGCAGGACCTTAACCCTAAATTAAGTGGCTTCATGAAACGTCTGATAGAAAACAATCTTGAATGTCAGCAGGATGTTTGTAGATTACCTTAACTAATAATTAGCAATCAACCATTGGATTCAATGACAAAAAATACTGAACCATCTCTTCCCCAGATCCAGCTATTAAAGTTGACTAAGACAGAACAATAGAATAAACAACGTATCTCCTGAGCTGAAGCACAGAAAGTGAAATTCAAAAACCTGTCTTCATAGCTACCACATTCAATGTGCCATTTGTATACTGCACCGTGTCCTGGTGGGAAGAGGTGGTAACGGCTGAAAACCATCCTGTACTCCACTTGCCAAGCCCTGCACCCTGTGATGGGGCTGTGTCAGCCAGAAGGAAGAGAGGTCTTCTAAGCAAAAGGCTCCATGAGTCTGAACTGCTGCAACAGCACAAGGCTAATGTCACAAAACTGTTGTAGAGACTAGTGGGCCCAACCTGGCTGGCTCAATAGTGACTCTAAATTACTTAGGGAAAATCACAACTTTTTCATTTCCTGCAAAGAAAGCCCTTCACATTGTTAAACTTCAGATGTTTGTCAATCCACACAAAGACTACAGTCCATCTCCTGCTGATGGGTAACACCAAAGGTCTTTCTCTCCAAATAGAAATAATAGAAACAATTGTCATAAAGCAAGGACCTCGCCTTTCTTTAATCAATGGCATTCACTCTGCTACACTTTACTCACCTTCTTGTCCTCCAGCTTTTGATTACAGCTGGATGGAAGCTCTAGAAAACTTTTCACAAGAGAGGATTAATCCCAAAGATCATTTTTCTTTTAAATCTAACTAGTTGTATGCTTCTTCAGCCATCACTTGATGTTAGCCTCTCTGACATGACAAAGACAAAATCTGAAATTCCTTTGTTTATTTAAGCTCACACTTGCATAGTACTTAACATATGCCAGGCATGGTTCTAAGTGCTACCTTTACAAGTTCAGACTTAACTAAATCCTCACGAGTTATTATTCATCTTTCACATTTGTGAAATTGAAGCACACAGCTAGTAAAAAGCAGAAGCAGAAATGAAACCACGCAGTCTGGATCCAGTCCATCGTACCCAGACTGCTTTGCTGTAGGTACTGCCCTAGTTGCAACAAAACACGTACCTCTGAAGAATATGTTTTCCTGTATTCCCATTTAGTGTATAATGCCCTAGGTTACAGCCTTTAGCAAACAATGGTTTTGTCTTTGATGCCAGATAGCACACCTAAATTTTTAAAAATTTACTTTAGAGCAAAACAAAATCAAAAGAGCACACTAGGATGCAATATTCTCAACTCAAGTAAGACCAGCTAAGAGGGCTTCGGTTGTATTAAGCAGAAAACATAATTTCTGCAGGCAAATTTAAAATATTTGAAACCAAAATGAAATGTTCACCTTCAACTCTCCACCTTCTAGGGCCAAGTGATCCAAAAATTCCATATTCCTAATAATAATCTGAATTATCAGGGAAAACATTCATTATCTTTTCTCTTTAACTCTTTATTGTAAATTTAGGTTACAAAGAAAAAAATTTCAAATCTTGCTTTTTAAAAAAAGAGAGGAAGCCCTTTAACCAGGACTTACTCTGAAGTTTATGCTTCAGAATCACAATGATGATCACTGCAGCTTCATCAATGAGAAGAAAGAAACTAGAATACTACTTCTTAGATATATATTTTCCTAATGTTTCTAAATGAAATTTCCAGGTCAAAGAAACCTAATGATCATTAAACCAGTACTCCAAATGAACTTCTAATCATTGTCAAAGATATGTCTGGTGATTATGTTGTGTGTGTGTGTGTGTGTGTGTGTGTGTGTGTGTGTGTGTGTATAAATATGTATGCTTTATATGGTTATAATGGATATCCCCAACTCGAAACATACTGCAAATTATAATCAACTTAGAATCAACTTTATGAAATAATTAGGAATGACAAGTTAATTAACTAACTCTGGCTTCCCCAAAATTCTGAAAGTGGATTTTAGCCTAATGGGTTAAAAATATAAAAACTAGGTACTTGCTGAGAGCACATCTGGAATCACTTTATCCTGAAACTGTTGTATAATGAGGTGCTAACATACCCAGCTACGGCTTGCCTCCCCCTGAAATGTGTGTGTGTGTGTCCTGGACTTAACCCTCTTCCAGTAGCGAGTTCAAATTCCAGAACAGCTTGTCCAGGGATCATGTTGGCAGGAATGTGCTTGTCTTGGAAGCCTGTGAACCAAAATATGATCATCCTTAAGAAAAGCACATCCTGCAGATAATAGGGACTGGCCAGTTGGTGTTCTCATGTCACAAAACTGTGGGTTTCATATTCTTACTCTCTTTCCAATATCAAGTCCATATTGTCTTCAGCACTGCTTGTGAAACAAAAGGCAATAAGCAAGAAGTTGTAACAAATCCTAACAAAACAGCAAACAAACCAAGATTTGAGGAGTTGCAATCTGGGAAACAGAGGGTCAATTTTTCACAATGGCATTGATGGAGCCCATGAACTTACCACAGATTTTATGGTCTGTCAATTCACAAATTTTCTGGTGAAAACAGATACCTATAACAAAAATAATAATAATTACATTGACTAATTTCCATGACAGGACATGAGTGGAATGAAGAGGGAGAAGATCTGAGTTCTACCTCCAATCTGGCCACTAACCAGCAATTCAACCAGCGATAAGTCATTTCCTGTCTGGCCTCAGATGTATTCATCCATAAAATAAGAAGAATTGTCAGATAATCTCTAAAATTTTTCCAGTTTAAATATATTTTATGACAAAGTTTTTTTTACCTAACCTCAAATATGCATGCGTATGCTCATGTTATTGTTATCTCAATGTGTATGCATATGCTCATATTCATACACACACACACACACACACACACACACACACACACACACACAGCGGGGGGGGGGGGAGAGGGAGAGAGGGAGAGAGGGGGAGAGAGAATAAATCTAATCTATTGAAGATTAAACCAGGCATGAAAATCCAGATGCTGCTGTACACTTCAGAGATGATTCTTTGGTTATCGTTTCTTCCTTGTATAAACAAGGGTGTGGGGGGCTCATTGAGACAGGCCTTGAGTTCCCATCACTTACACCTTTTAGTCTCTCTCATTTCCTCTCTTCTTAACCACTGCCATACCAAAAGAGGTACAGTTTAGTGCTGAAGTTTGCAAAACTAAAAAATTATACCATTGTTTGATTCTTCATTCTTCGATGCCACTCTCAACCTTTTGTACTTGGAGAAACATAGCTATTTTCACATTTAAATGTTATTTATTTTAGTATATTATGAGTCAGTTATTACTTTTAAATATATTGACTATTTTTTTAAGGTGGAGTTTCGCTCTTGTCACCCAGGCTGAAGTGCAATGGTGTGATCTCAGCTCACTGCAACCTCCAACTCCCGGGTTCAAGTGATTCTCCTGCCTCAGCCTCCCCAGGAGCTGTGATTACAGGCGCATGCCACTACACCTGGCTAATTTTTGTATTTTTTAGTAGAGACGGGGTTTCACCATGTTGGTCAGGCTGGTCTCAAACTCCTGACCTTGTGATCCATCCGCCTTGGCCTCCCAAAGTGCTGGGATTACAGGTGTGAGCCACCACACCTGACACATTGCCTAGTTTTTAAGATTTCAGTCTTAATTTCTACTATAAATATCAACAGATACAGTCCACATAAACAAAACTCTTTGTAGTCCTCAATACTTTTTAAGACTGCAAGGGGATCCTGAGACCAGAAAGTTTGGGAATTGCTGATGTTGCAGTTAACGTGACAAACTCCAGATCTAGCTGCCTGAGTTAAAATGTCACTTGTATCACTTAGGAGTGGTGTGGCACTGAGTACAGTTGCTTAGTTCTGTGCCTCAGTTGGGGATAATAACAATAATAGTACTGAACCTATAGGGTTATGATAAGGCTTAAATGAACTGATACATGTACCATGCTTAGAACTGTTGTTAGCCAATGTTCTTTTTGGTGCTCTTCACCTATCTCCACTCCCCTGTGGTTTGCTTGGTTTGGTTTGATTTGGTCTGGTCTTACTACTGCTGCCTCTCCATTTGACTGGCAAAGTGTGACTGGCATTGCTTCACCAGGGGCTAAACGGCATCACTGTCCAGGCTCCTTCATAACCACAGCCACACATTCCCACTCCTGTGCTGCAGCACCCAGCTGTACTTTGAATTTGCCCTTTACAGAGGCTCCATCAGCAAAAGACAACTGGAAAATCAAAGTAAGCAATGCTAAGTTTTTTAAAAACACGCTATTTCAGATGAATTAGAATGTATAGTCAAAACTTTAGCCTTCTGAAAAAATCAATGAAAAAGAGGAAGGAAGTAGAGAGAAAATGCAAACAATTACATTCATTCCTTAAAGGAAAAGGTGGTATTTACCCAAGCTCCCTGCAATTTGAACTATGGTTTCACAACTTTCTATCTCTTTTTTAAAATCTCTCTTCGGGCCGGGCGCGGTGGCTCATGCCTGTAATCCCAGCACTTTGGGAGGCCGAGGTAGGTGGATCACAAGGTCAAGAGATCAAGACCATCCTGGTCAACATGGTGAAGCCCTGTCTCTACTAAAAATACAAAAATTAGCTGGGCATGGTGGCGTGTGCCTGTAATCCCAGCTACTCAGGAGGCTGAGGCAGGAGAATTGCCTGAACCCAGGAGGTGGAGGTTGCGGTGAGCCGAGATCGGGCCATTGCACTCCAGCCTGGGTAACAAGAGCGAAACTCCATCTCAAAAAAAAAAAAAAAAAAAAAAAAAAAAAAAAAAAAAATCTCTCTTCAATATCCCCGAGCAGCCTCCTCCCACCTGGCCAATAACCCTCAGGCCGTTAACTTGCTTTAAAAAATATGATGGACAAGATTCTGATCACATGCACATGACTGATGGCCATTTGATCTTCCCAGGGAGTACTGAAGTTTTATGAGCATTTATGATCATAATCCCTTGCATTTATATTCATTTTCTAATTTATACTTTGACATAAATTTTTCTTTAATTCTTGGCACTCAGCATGCTGTTATTCCATTTAACAGTTTGAAAAACTGAGGCTCAGAGAAGCTAGCAAACTTCCCCAAAGTCTCAAAACTTTGTATTGACAGAACTAAAATTGAAGCATGAATGAAATGGGAAAATTTTTAAAGACTGAAGGACTTGAGGGAAATGCACACAGCAGGGAGGGGTGAGGCATGCTGGGGGTGGGGGAGGTGAAACTAAGCTATTTCTGTCAGGGGATTACTTAAGCAAATCTGCTCTACAGTGGAAATAACCTCTACTAATTCCCCCAGAGTTTTACACAGCCTCTTTATTGCCTCCATAGCTCAAACTATACATTCTCTAAGACTCGTATTTATTTATTTTTTATACACTAATTTGTTTATACAATGGATACCTTGGTGGTACTGTTCTAAGAAGGATTTTAAAGAAGGTACATATTTTATATTTAACCTATGGCTGCTTCTGAATAGACTGTTTGTAAATTGAGAACTGTCTGTATTGCATGTGTGATGTCATTAAATATATATTTGGTCTGTCCAAAACTATCTGGCATTTGTCCTTTACCAACATTACCGAGTATTTTAGTTTCTCAGTCATGCGAGCTTAAAAAGCACAGCCAAATCTAATGAATGTCAAACTTGTGTAGTGACTCAAGTTGATTTCAGTATGTTTAAACAGAAAAAAAATAAGATTCACAAAGGATCAATTGGAATGAGCATTCACCTTAAAGGAATGCAAAAAGGAATCCTTTTGAACCATCCGTTCTCCTGAATATGTTTAAATTTGCATTAATTTAAGCACAACTGCTAAGGAAAAAATGTTTATTATATATGAAATATTTTGTCATTAAAAGTAATGGCAATTGACTTTTGCACCAACCTAATAACAGACACCTGGAATATGAGTGTGATGTTCTTTGTATGTAAGGATGCTAAGGCTAAGCTAACTAAAATATCTTCTTTTACCTGCTTTTTTTTCCCCCTTTGGTAATTTATCAGCCCTGTCCAATAATACTTTCTACAATAATGGAAACATCTATGTCAGTGCTATACATTTTTCAATAAAGTAATAAAATTAATTTTATTTAAGTAGTCACATGTGGCTACTGAGCAATTAAAATGTACTCCTGAAGAACTTTATTAATTTTAATTCATTTGAATAGCCAAGTGGCTAGTGATTTCGTATTGAACAGAACAATTACAAGGTCTCTTTCAGTCAAAAAAAAAAAAAAATCCTATGATTCTATCATTCTAAAGACACCAAATTGTGAGGCCAGAATTAAGGTTGGGATTATTAAATCTGACCATTAATGGATGCTGAAATAAAGTTAGCTAATTGGACATACAATTTTACAGAGAATGTTTTTATTCTTAATAAACATCAAAAAACTATTATGTGCGAAATAACGTGTGGGTCAGTGGGATATATACAGACCAAGATTGAAACACGGTTCCTGATAAATCTCAATTCAGTACATGCTAACAAGACACGGCTGACCAATTGTGTAAGCTCATGCTTTTAACAAGTATTGCTTAGCTCAATAACTCCCATAACTCTAGGACAAACAACTGTCCTGAGCCCTGGGGACACGCTGTTGCCTGACAAATGCCAGCTCTTCCGGGCACCTACGCTCCTCGGAAGCACAGCCAGGTGAACAGGCCACGAGAATACAGAGTGGTCAGTACAACTAGGAGCAGACCTTGGGTGCCACATGAACAGACAAAAGAGGCTTCTAAGTCAGTCTTGGCTAGACAGGGAAGGTTTCAAGTGCAGAAAAGAAGGTTCAAGAAGAAAAAAACAGTAGTATCTTGCTATCAAATATATTTAGGTTTCTTTTGGAAATTTCCTTTTCATTTGGCATTGTGTCATCGCCCTTTCAAGGGTATTCACTTCTTGAGTACATTTCAATCAATATATATTTATCGAACCCTGAAGACTAAAGAACCTCATCGTCATTTTTCTGGAGGATTCACCATTTGCTCGGGGCTAAAGGTCTATGAAGATAACCCTTTCTCCTGAGAAAAAAATAAGTTCTTAAGTCAAATATTTCAATAATCTACCAAGTAGGAAAAATGTAACATTGCCTTGGATGCATGTTAGACTTCCCAGTCTGGGGTCAAATTCCACTTCCTCCTCTTAAAGAACGAATAGCCTCGGGCAAGTTATCTAACTTTTCCAAGGATCAATTTTGTCATGGGTAAAAGGTAAGAATAATGGGGTAAGAACAGCCCTTACCTCAGAGTTGATTAGAGAAACGAATACGCACATATTTATAAAAGCCTTAAAATAGTGCGTCCCCTAAGCTTTATAAGAGGATTACTACTCTTTTTAATTATAATTATTCTAATTGCAGAAACCTATAAGAAAATAATACACAGTTCTGGCAGGAAGAAGTTAAAACAAATATGAAAAATAAGAGATATTCAGAAACTTCAGCAGCTCCCTTCTGTCCTATGCCTCAAGGTACCAGAGAGGGAAAAAGACCCCCCAGGAGAAGCTGTGAGGAAACCTGAACTGCAAACCCACCACGCTGTCTTTCTGGGAAAGGCAGTTGGTAAACAAACATGTGAACTCTATTTCAGGCTAGTATGTTTTTTCATTTGCTTCCAAGACTTTGATGGAATGACTTGAGAGGAAAAGTTGACAATTACTAGAATGAACCTAAAAGGACACGAGAGATGAAACGGTTGCAGTATTTTTGAAATAAATGTTTCCTTGCAAGAGCAGAGTCATAGGCGGGGTGTCTGTGTAATGTCTACTCAACACAGCGGAAGGGTAAGAGGAAATCTTGGTATCCCGATTTCTAAGTCTTAGTGGGGAACCATATGGAAGCCACTGCACGCCAAATCCCATGCTCACCGAAGCTTCAAGGATTACCTCGTGGGTCTGGGGGTTTAATCTGACAACTCCTAGTGCCTTCAGGACTTTCCAGGCACAGAGAATGGGCCGCGACTGCACCCCCTGCGTCCTTCCTGGGTAGCAGGCTTTCCACAGCTACAGTTCTCCACGTCAGCAGCCACGTACACAAGCGCAGGCAGCTGCCTACAAGGCGTGCCCGCTTCCCACCGTGCACTCTCCCAGACAGGGCATCCCTGCACCGCCCGGCGCGTTCGCGAAAACTCCGCGTGGCCTCCAGGCGCCTAACGCCTGGGGCTCACTAGGTTTTCCACGACGCAGGCGACCGTGGCTGGCGCACCCGGCGGCCTCCCAGCTTGCCCAGGCTGGACTGGAGGGGGCGTTTCGGGGCCCCAGACCCCAACACATCGGGGCGGAAGGGCCCAGGTATCTGCTGGCGCCTCCGCACCTCCTCGTCCCCTCCACTCCCCTCCTGCCTCTCCCCAAACCCTTCCTTCCTCATCCTACTCCTCCTCAACCTACTTCTTCTCCTCCTCCCAGCTCCCCTCAGACTAGGAGTCCGCGCGCGGAATCGGGAAGCCGCGCCGGGTGAATCACCGTCACGTGGTCGCGGGCGCGCAAAAGCGCGCTGCGCCTGGGCTGCCCTGGCGCTCGGAGCTTTAGTGGAAAATTTCCGGAGACCTACTGGGGCTGCGCGCCGCAGGCCCCGCCTCCCCGCGCCTTCGCTTCCCCCCTCCTTCGCCCCCTCCCTTCTCCTTCTCCTTCTTCTTGCCCTTCCCCAGCCGTTTTCCGGCCCCGACCGGCCCCGACATTGCGGAGGTTCCTTTCTCTCCTGGGAACGGCGCAGCGCACGCCCCGCCCATTGCAGCCCCCCAGGCTGGCGCCGCCCGAGCCGTTTGCTCTGGGGCCGCCAGCCCTCGCTTCCTTCGCGCCGCTCCAAGCCGCCACGCGGCCTTGCCCCCGACCTTGCGTGTAATCGGCTGGCATCCTAAGAGGCCAGGAGCGGCGTCCTGGCGCCTCAGCCTTAGTCTCTGGGGCGCCGCGCCCCCGCCGCCCAGCCCCGCCACCTCCGTTCCGCCTTGAGTGGGACCCCCCTACACCTCCGGGGCGGAATGTGAAACAAAGGGAGAAGACGGTGACGATGGGCGTCTCGTCTTCTCATTTAAAATTACTGCACCGCCTTCTGAACAAAGCACATGCACAGCCCAATTGTGTTTTACCCACTCCCGCTTACCCGCTGAGAAAATAAGCTACTTTCCCTATCCTATAACATTCTCCACTTCGTTTTCCCAGCCACGAACAAAATTCATTCCTGAGACAGAAACTTTGAGGAGTTCGTTGACCTCATTCATGTAGAGGTGACAAACGGTTACACAACAAAATTGTTTAACCAAAAGGGGATGTGTTGTGTGCGTGATTCACCTCAAGAAAACACCCATTTATCTGTTTCAGCAACTAGTTGGCCTTGGACTGTCAGCCAGGTTCTTGTCGTTGAATAGGGTGGGAGGTTGAAAAGTGGCATTAGCGCCACGTGTCCCAAGACGAAATGACTTGGAACCGGAAGCAGGTGACTTAATCAGTCACAAAGTGCCAAAGATGTCAGCTAAAACAGTGGGAGCTTTACTTGAGTAAAGATCTCAGAACCAAGCCCAGATATTAAATGCTTCCCATCTAAGAACCAGAATTGCAGGTATGTTAATTTTAATAAATCCTTATTTCAGTATCTTAGCCCTGGGCAAAGAAAGATCCGGAAACTAACTGAAAGCAAAGAATGTAGGTCCATCGTGGCCTATGAGTGCTTTGGGTAAATCACATTGATTCAGTCGCTGTCATTTCTCTTTAGACAAAAGACAACAAGTATACAAATAAAGGTATTTTTTAATTATCCTATTTTGGGTAATTGTAAGGATCTGAAATTTTTAATTTTTTAAAACAATGGAGCACTTCAATAAAACATACGTTGTCTTTACTAAGAATATACATGGCTTGTTTTCTAGCTTAATTCTTGATTGTTGCTGTGACATTACCACGATCTGAATAACCTTAAGCATGTAGATAAGAACTCATATCTGTGATTTTGCTTTCATATTTCACTTTCCAAGACACTTATTGGTAATTAACAGGTGTCAGTTTACCTAGCCAAAGAACCATTGTCAATAAATCCCTCATCTCTCTTCCATTGTTTTCTTTCACATTCATTAGCATATACTACACCTAGTAAAATGGACCATTCCAGGGTTAAACAAAAAGGCCAACTGTTACCTGTTGTACCTTCTTGTATCACAAGAAGGTCATTAGTCAAGCTATTCTTTCCCCTCTTTTATTTGGGGAGGAGGTGAGAGAAACAGAGTTCTGATACTAGATCCCTAGAAAGTTCTTCAGTTTTGACAGAATTGAGTATGTTTGTGCTAAAATATCTAAAACTATCTAAATATTTTTAAATTTTGTTGTTGTCGTTGCTGTTTTGAGACGGAGTTTCGCTCTTGTCGCCCAGGCTGGGATGCAATAATGCGATCTCTGCTCACTGCCACCTCCACCTCTTGAGTTCAAGCAATTCTCCTGCCTCCACCTCCCAAATAGCTGGGATTACAGACACCTGCCACCACGCCCAGCTAATTTTTGTATTTTTAGTAAAGACGAGATCTCGCCATCTTGGCCAGGCTGGTCTCGAACTCCTGACCTCAGGTGATTCACCCTCCTTGACCTCCCAAAGTGTTGGGATTACAGGCATGAACCACCCCGTCCAGCCATATTTCTAAATGTTTTAAACATTGAGTTTCTGCGGGTTCCTTATTTTTCTTTTTCTTGCTGAAAAATGTGGTATGCATTTACAAAATACTGATGCTTGCAAATATACGGATTTACAATATAATGTATTTTTTAGGCATTACTGTGTTATCCAGTCCTGGCCAATGGGATCTGAGACAACAATAATAGCACTTCCAGGAAATGTTATCTCTCATAATAAAATTAACTTACAAGAATGACACTCCTTTCTTTTGCAATGGATGTGGTCCTGTCTGCCTATGACCCCTAAGAGCACTGCAGCCAACATGTGACCACAATGGGAGACATCCTCAGCATGTTGAAGAAGGCAAAGTCAAAAAATAATGAGCATTAGGCCGGGCGCGGTGGCTCACGCCTGTAATCCCAGCACTTTGGGAGGCCGAGGCGGGTGGATCACAAGGTCAACAGATCGAGACCATCCTGGTCAACATGGTGAAACCCCGTCTCTACTAAAAATATGAAAATTAGCTGGGCATGGTGGCGCATGCCTGTAATCCCAGCTACTCAGGAGGCTGAGGCAGGAGAATTGCCTGAACCCAGGAGGCGGAGGTTGCGGTGAGCTGCGATCACGCCATTGCACTCCAGCCTGGGTAACAAGAGTGAAACTCCGTCTCAAAAAAAAAAAAATAATAATAATAATGAGCATTTTGTCATGAAGGCAGGTATCAAGGCCAAGAATTAACCCCAGAACTGCACTCTCTACAGACTTCTTCTTATGTGATGTAGTGTCATTATATAAGCCACTTTGGATTGCATATTGTGTTTATTGCCATAAAAAGTTTTCTGGTTGGGCATAGTGGCTCATGCCTATAATCCAGCACTTTGAGAAGCTGAGGTGGATGGATTGCTTGAGCACAGGAGTTTGAGATCAGCCTGGGCAACTTGGCTGAAACTCTGTCTCTACAAAAAATTAGCCCAGCCAGGTGTGCCCTGTGCCTGTAGTCCCAGCTCCACAGGAGACTGAGGTGGGAGGATCACCTGAACCTGGGCTCTCTGATCACGCAGCTGCATTCCAGCTTGGGTGACTGAGTGAGACCCTGTCTCAAAAAATAAAATAAAATTTTTGCTGCTGACAACCTCTCTGTGGTAGCCAGCCTCCAAGATGGCCCCTAATGATGCTTACCTTCTGGTATTCAACCCCTTGTAGGGTCCCCTTATATGTCGAATCAGAGCTTCCCTTTGCGACTGATAGAATATGGGAGAAATGATAAAGTGTGACTTCCAAGGCTAGTTCATAAAGGCATTGCAGCTTCTGCCTTGATCTCTCTTGGCTAACTTGCTCTGGGATAAGCCAGCTGCCATTTCACGAAGACATTCAGTCAGGCTTGTGTAGACACCTTCTTGGAGAGGAACCAACTGGCCAGCACTGACTTGCAAACATGTGAGTGACCTTGGAAGATCCTGCAGTCCCAGTCATGCTATCAGATAACTATAACCCTTTGACATCTGACTGCAGCCTCATAAAAGACTTCAGCCAAAACACCCAACTGAGCTGCTTTTGAATTCCTAATTCAGAGACACTTTGAGAGATAATAAATTATTGTTGCTTTCAGACACTAAGTCTTGTAATAATTTGTTACATAGTAATTGATATCTAATAGAGTATCCATCAACACCAGAAAAACATGCCAAAGTCAGCAAAGTGCTCACAGAGTACATACTATTGCTTTAGACTTGAGAGCTATCTCACAAAGATTAAATAAAACCATTCAATTATCAGGCACTTTCTAAATGTGATCCCAAGAATAAAAGATACAATTGATAAGAAAAAGAAAAAAAGAGACTAGAATTTGCTCAGACACTTGGAAAGATTAATATTAAAAGTATGGAAATGCAACCATGTGGATGATTCTCAAGGACATTATGCTAAGTCGAAAAATGTCATGCACAGAAAGACAAATCACATGATCTTATTTGTATGTGGAGTCTAAAACAGTCAAACTCACAGACGTAAAGAATAGAATGATGGTTACCAAAGGCTGAGGGAGTGGAGGGGAGGAGGTTTGGGGAAATGTTGGTCAAAAGATAACAAAATTTCAGTTAGATAGGAGGAATAAGTTCAAGAGCTCTATTGTACAACATGGTGACTATAGTTAATAACAATATATTGTATTTTGAAAATTGCTAATAGGTTTTAACTGTTCTCACCACAAAAAATAAGTATGTGAAGCAATGCATATGTTAATTAGCTCAATTTAACCATTCCACAGTGTATATATATTTCAAAACATCTTGTTGTACATGATAAATACAATTTTTTTTTTTTTTTTTTGAGACGGAGTTTCGCTCTTGTTACCCAGGCTGGAGTGCAATGGCACGATCTCGGCTCACCGCAACCTCCGCCTCCTGGGTTCAGGCAATTCTCCTGCCTCAGCCTCCTGAGAGCTGGGATTACAAGCACGCGCCACCATGCCCAGCTAATTTTTTGTATTTTTAGTAGAGACGGGGTTTCACCATGTTGACCAGGATGGTCTCGATCTGTTGACCTCGTGATCCACCCACCTCGGCCTCCCAAAGTGCTGGGATTACAGGCTTGAGCCACCGCACCCGGCCGATAAATACAATTTTTATTAGTCAATTTTAAACATTCTATTATTCTCTAATCTTCACCATGTGAGGGGGAAAAATTAAGTTAAATTAAATAAATAAGAAAATATGGAAGTCATTGGAATAAGGGGAAGAGTGTGGTTTGAAGGGAGACAGAGGAAAGGAAA